CTTCCCTATAGCAGGCCAGATATTACTAAGTGGTAAGAATATAAGTTTGACACCCTTTACCCGGGTCTTCAAGGCCTGAAACTATGATAGGGCCATATTCTCTGCTATCAGATTCTTAAGTGGTGAATGCTTCTCTCTATACTTGTTTTGATGCCTAGAACTCCTCCCTTCCATGTCTGAGTCCTGCTAGCTCAGAGGAAAAACAATGTTACACTAAGATCCTTAGCCTTTGTTCTATGTGAGTGCCTTCTCATCCAATCATACTTGCTCTTGATTTCTCAAGGATGAATAATGAATAATTCCATGTTGCTCCCAATGTTATGAGGTGTGTGGTCCTTGGGGTCCCCACTGAGGCCTCTAAACAAACATTGAAGTCCTTCTACTGTCAACCTCATGCCTCAATCCTTAGACCAAATCCCTTGTCCCCTGTATAACATGAAACTAAGAATGTCACATCATGGTAACAATGCCCAAATACTGATTTGTTGCTAGCAAAGTTGGAGCTTTGGGTGATCTTTTCAGTTCTGAAGCTGGAGAAGTGCCTACATCCTTCCTCAAGACCCATACATTAATTCTTGAAAACGATTAGAATCCCTTCCTTTGATTATTTGATAGCCCTCTCTTTTGTCCAAGGTACTCATATTGCCAACATCCTTTTTCTTTTTTCTTTTCTTTTTTTTTTTTCTTTTTTGAAAGGCCGGCTAACAGACTTGATCATTTCCTTCCAGAGCAGATGGCAAACTAAAGCTCTGTGGCACTCCAGTCTTGTAGGTTCTGTGCTGCTCTCAATATTAAAAATGGTTCTACCTTTAATTCCAGGGGATGAGACACTTCTCTTTAATGTCCTAGATGTTATTATGGCTTGTATCTAGATGTCCCCCCAAGGCCTCATGCAATCATAGGAGGGGAGTTTCAAAAGTGCTGAATTAGGTGTGTGAAAGTGGATTGAGGGTAATACTGGGATTAAGGGTGTAGATAATGGAATCTCCAACCTGTGTGTAGATGGTATCAATCAATAGGCTTACAGTGTAGATAAAATACAAAGGGAGAGAAGGAAGGAATGCTGCTGCTGCTACTGCTGTGTGCTCCCTTCTGCCAGCTCTGCCACGTCAAGGACTTTGTCTCTTCCATGGTGCCCCTCTATAATGCTACCTTGCTTTAGGACCAGCTATGTACTGAAACCAGTACAAACTGTTAGCTAAATAAACCTCTTTAAGTTGTGGGTATTGGGCATTTTGTCTCAGTAATAACAAAAGTAAAACAGCATAAAATTCAGATCCACAGCCTGAAGTCCTAAAGCCCTAGAGAGGTAAACGAGAAATGCCACATTGAACTACCGTTATCCATTCTCTTTCAGGCTCCATGGGACTCTCTGTGTTTGGGTTAAGTCTGTGTACTCATTCCTTATGCAAGTTCTTAACCTTGACTCTTGGAAGGCCCTGAGTTTCTACATGTTTAATTCAATGTATTTTTCACTGATACATAACACTGTATCTACTAATAAAGTACAATGTAATGTATTGATATATGTATATAACAGGAAACTTTTAAATCAGGTTAATCATGCATGTAGCATTAAATGTATATCATTTATTTTGAAGAAAAATGTTTAAATCATGTTTTCCTGCATTTTTAAATATGTAGTATACAAATAATCATGCTACTGTGCAACAGCACATCAGAACTTCTTGCTCATTTTACTTAATGCCCATTAATCAATATCTTCACTTCTCACTCTACCCTACTCTCCCCAGTTTCTAATACCCATCATTCTGTCCTCAACTTTTATGAGATCAACTTTTCTAGTGTCCACCTATGATTGTGACAATCATTTGACACTGAAGTGAAATAAACTTGGTACATCACCTACACTGAAGAAAGCTCTCATGTTTCTGAGCATCCTGAATAATATGTGACAGGACACCCAGTATAACAGCTGTGCTTTAGCCTTCTAGATCTGAGAGCACACAAAGGCTGTGGCTCCTTTTTACGGGGTACCCATTTTTAGTTTTTATCATTTAGATTGTTAGTGTTGGTTCCTAATATTCTATGGGAGGAAAATACCACATAATTCTGAACTCTTGATTTCCCCTCCTGCAACAACCTGGCAGAGAATAGGCTTCACCCTAGCAGTGATGTTCCATGTGAAAGCTGAAGTCAAGTGCAGAGAAACATGGGTAGGTGCTCTGCTGTCAGAGACAAAATGTACTGCTCTATACCTTGTCTTTACCAGTCAGCCTTAACCACTTACACAATTCTGCTTTACATCCGTATTTTCTACAAGGAAGAGGATGAATAAGATGGTTTTAGGGACTCCTCATCTTCTGAGGGGTACCAATACTGACCCTGAAGATAATATTGTATTCTAGTACTCTCCCTTTTATTCATATCACACATGTATTTTGGTACTGATGTTGCTTATTTCTTGATAAAACAGTATTTTGTGCTTGAAGTATTATTTTTTATGTCCTAAAATACATTTTGAAGAGATAACCACAAAATGAATAAGGGGCACTAATAGGGTCACTTAGTGACCCTCAGTCTTGGAGGAGTGTACTAATGTAGACTCTAGAGGAACTAAAACCCAGGAATCCAAACAGCCTTATCATGTACAATTCAATCATACTTGTAATTTACACAAATTACCTGGATCAGTGCTGGGCAAAGACGTTTTTTTAATAAATAGCTATTACTAAAGTTATTTTAGTTTATTGGTAACAACACTCTCACATAAATTACTTTCAGAAGATTTGAAAATATATAAGTTCAAATGGCATAGAAATTCACATCATCTGAAATAATAGTAAATGCATAAAAATTAAGTAGTATTTCCCTGTTATTTGATCGGAGTGTCGGGTTGTTATTCTCAAATTGAAGCCAATACACAGTTCCTATCTTGTGTCAATGACCAACAACCTCCCTCCTAGGTGTCTTTCCATCCAATTTATCCCTTTTTTTCATTCCTTGCTTTATCACCAGGTATTGAGACCTTCCTCAGAATTTGACAAATTATACACTATTAACCCAGTTAAAATGTCCTTTTAATGGAGTAGAACCCAATTCTGCCAGAGCATGATGAAAGTGACAGTTCAGTGGCTTCTCAGAATCTCATGTCAATGGAGTATTTTACATATTTCTTAGGAGCTCCCCAGACATTGTGTCTGTTTTTTATACTATAATCACCCACACCGTGGACAGCCCAAACTCCTTCCATTTCTGTGCTTGGTGAGAATTTCTTTCTGATATAATTACAATTGTTCAGATTTCCTTTCCATTACAACTTTAGTCTCTCAAAACTGAGATGTATGTTATGAAGACCTGACACTTGATAAATATTCCAACAGCCTTATTCAGTCAACCAAGCAACCTTAAAACAAACAAACAAACAAACAAACAAAAAAAAAACCTCCCACTGAGGAACTGGGAGTTTCCTAATGCTCCAAATTGCTTTGATCAGATAATTTACACTATCTTTCATATGAAATCCCCTCTGCCTCACTCAATACGGGTATTTACTTTTCCTTTACATATTAGGTAGAATCTTACCATTTTGATTACCTATACTAGCTGCTGCTACAATAAAACCATCTGTGGCCAGTGCCTGGATCTCCTTTGCCTTACGGTCTCCAGTGCCACTCAGGAGACTTTTACAGAGAGATATTCAATTAATGCTTAGGAAAAAGTAAATTAAAAATAATAAATCCATGAGCAAGAAATTTAACTTATGATTTAAGTTTTCATACAGTGTGAATAAAACAAGCAAATCCAAGTTTATTTCATTTAATGTTACAATCAAAGGACAAAGACAACAGAGACAACTATGAACAAATCAAAATGCTTTTCTTTAACCATTTTCTGATGCCAAAAACTATTCTTTATAGGGTTTGTCTTACATTTCCATAAAAATTTCTTTTCTCATTCCATGTTATTTGTACTACAGGGAAAGTAATGAAAGTGTTTTCAATTTGTTTAAAAAAATAATAAAACATCCAGCCTTAAAGTTGAAAAAAATCAATAAATATATGATCCTTAAAGTGACAAAATTTAGACTGTGAAAAAAATAATACTTCAATTACAGAAATGCCTGAAAATTAGAAAATAAAGGTACCTATATTTACTTATGTTTAACAAGAAGAAAAACATTTGTATTTTGTTCCCTCTACCCTCTAGTATGGTCCACAGATTAAAGAATGACAGCTCTTCAAACATCATGTGCTCTTCAAACATCATCAGAGCCGACTAGGTATGGGAAGAGCTACAGGAAACAGCCTCTGGATAAGCCCTGACCTTGGCAATATAATTAGTCCTACCCGTGTGTTTTCCATTCCTCTCTCTTGCTTGTCTCTGCAAGGCTAGTAATACAGATTAGCAAAGGAAATTGGGGTAGTATTGAACTTGGCCAAATCTTCCAGGACTGTATCTTGGTGATCCCAGCATAGGTTCTGGGATTTCACAGGTATTCATAGTTTGGAGAATCACATTTGAGCACCTGACAATACCCCAGGTACTTTTCCTAAACCAAATCTTCGTTACTGAGCCTCTAAGGGCTACCCAAACATTAAGCATCTTCTCTCACTATGTATGTCCCAAACAACTGGGAATTATCATATCTCTTTCTCAAGGATACCATGGCCCTTCATGAAGATCACATCCAAGAGCATCATCAGAACACCTGTCTTAGGCAGCCCCCTACTGCCACCCAGGCTTCTCTCAATGGAGGGGCCCAAGTTACTCACTAGTACATAAAATTAACTTCTGGGATAGACTTCCTTTAACTCAAACCAAGACCACCTTTATCAGTTTTCAAGCTTTACTTAGGATTTCAGACAAATGCTGCTTGCACATCCTGCTGAAAATCTGACATTTTGGCCTCTGTACTGGATTCCTTCATTTCATACTTCTCTAGCTAGTACTATATTATAGCCACTGTGGAAGATGCTGTAGGTAGCTCCATCAAAACTATAGGCACCTATATCAGATCTGGGGTAAGAAATACCTACGAAAGCAGAGCAAGAGGGTTGTGGTCCCTGACACTCGTGGGGGATGCAGACAGCAGGAAAGCTGCTGATCCCAACCCCACCAACAGCAGAGGACACTCTTCTTCCTCACCTGCAGTGCCATGAGCACCCCTGAGACGGACATGTTTGCACTGGGCATGTGTTCCCATGCTTATGCTTCTGATCTTGAGGATATTGCTTAGGACAGTAAGAAGAAGCATAGGCAGGAGGGTTGACAAGGCAGGAACATGAATAGGTGACTTGTAAGTAGTAAGAATGGCTATTAAAGCACCTTGGCTTGAGAAGCTATTTTTTCCCTTTTTTTTTTTTTTTTTTTTTTTTTTTGTACTGGTATTCAAACTCACGACCTCACACTTCCCAGGCAGGTGTTGTGCTGCTGAGCTATATACACTCTGCCATGCATTTTGTATTGTACCAAGAGCGTTTCTGTGCATTTCCTAGAAGGCACTGCTCTAAGAACTCACCAGACTACTGAACTCTGGATCAACCTGGTACTTCAGAACCCTGTGGAGAAATTTAGAGGCTCATTCCACTGAATGACAGCCCAGCTTGGGGGCTAATTGAGATTACACAAGGAGTTGGCCTTGGAGTTCTCCTGGTTCAGGCTTCATAATCTTTTCTGATTACATTCAGGACCACCTTATCCATTGTAAGCAAGGTTCCAAACCTTCTTCCTTCTACTGATCTACAGTTAATACTATAATTTCCAACTTACCAAGGAGAAGGAAATCAGGGGACAATTGAAACAACCACTTCTTTCAGAAGTTATCTAGAAGTTCTAGGGAGACAAGAGAAATGATAGGTAAGCTTGTTTGTTTTTTCATCAAGACACTGGCTCCCACTGAGATCAGATTTTTCCTTAGCCTCTTTGAATAACTTGAGAATCGTTCTCTGTTGGTCATTTTTCATACTATAAAAACAAAGTCCCCCCTCCCCTGATTCTCCTGAAGACAAAATAAGACAGCACCTTAATTTTAGGTGCTGACCAGCCAAGCCAACATCATGGGTGGAGTTGTGCGTCCACCCCCCAACCCCGCCACGCTACACTAGCATCTACAGAGGACCTCTACTTAATTCCATAGAGCCTAAAAATTTCCCCTCTTCTGACCTGAGTCGGCCACCTAACCGTCATTCCCTGACACTTGAGGCGGAAGTGAGTGGCTTATGGGTCCAACTGCCATGCCTGGGGATTCTAGGTACCGGGGGCAGGGCTCGGTAGTATAGGTGCCCTCTGTGTTTACTTTCTTAGGAGTCATACGGGTAGAGTTTTCAGGTATTCGTGGAAGTTATCACAGTTTTCTGTTTACCCACCAAGACAACTGGCAACTCCTTTCATGTCTCAGCTGACCCTTAACGGAATCTGGAAGGTGAGGGTTTGGCCCAGACAGGTGGGTAAAGCGGAAGTTACGATCTTTCACTTCCTGTCCCACCCACTAGGCCTTACACTGAAGGCTGTGTCCCACCTCCTATGTTCCGGGACACAGAGGTTCCCACAAAACTCACGTAAATTTTTTCATGAGTTTGCACTGGTGCTGTGACTTCTCCCTCTGCCAACCTGCCTTGGAATAAGAACTTCATTTCCCAAAAAGTGGCAGTAGGAAGAATGATCAAGCCTAAGTTCCATGCTTGACACCTCCCAAAACTGACAATGAAGGATCTGTAGTGCCTTTTCTCCAGTAGGTCTTCCACTCACTCGTCAGCCAGTTTATTTCCTTAACTTCTTTTAGGTGCTTGCCCACCTTTTGCCTAATCACTTGGCAGTAACCCCTTAGACCGAAGCATTCAGCTCTCTAAAAATTGCATATGCTTCATTTGGCTACTACTGCCTGGTAACTGCCGGTCTTAAATGTTGCTTGTTTCATGTGTTTAAGTTAGGGGTTATGGATTATGTCTATTCTTTAGTATACAACCAAGTTCTAAATTACATTCTCACAGAGGGCATTGGCAAGGTGTGGAATTTCTGAATTTCTTAATAATAGTACATTATTTCCTTAACATTATAGTGCAAAATCCCCAAGGAGAAAATGAGGAACATGTCAACTACGATTAAAATCATTCATTATTGACATCAAAGGGTTTTCTCAAAAGTATCAGGCATCTTGTGCCCTTTTAATTTGTGATTCACTATCATCCTTCCTATTTTATTTTACTATATGATTTATATTGTATTATGATGATAAGAAAAGTCTGTAATCTTCCACTGAAGAAGTTTCAGGTGGTTATTAGTACAACATTTGGATTCATCTTGCCTCAGAAGCCCCAAATTTTATGTTTTTTGATATTCCCTAGTGATTATGGCTTACTTATTTTGAGGTGCTGCTTCAGATACTTTTAGTGGTGCAGTAAAAATTTCTTCTCCAGAGCACATTAGTAAAATCTGAAATTTAAAATAATTTCTTCACCTAAACCTGTCATCTGTTTTGTATTTTGGGTTACACATCTGATTCTCTTTCAGTTTGATTCCTCCTACCTAAAATGTATGAGTAATTTGCCACATTTTTCTATAATTTGAAAGAGTTCACTTAATATATCCATTACTTTTTCCTTCACAATTAACAACAATTCTTGAAATCTGACTAGACTGGAAACATTTTAGGATGTCCTAGTTCACCAGAGACTGAGTGTTCTTCCTAAGTTTTTCATTTTATTGTTTAGTTGATCTATATACACAATTGTTCTTTGTTTATCCCTTCTATAGCTTTTTCAGTATTGGTTTTGGGCATGGAAAACAGTAACCCCAGCTTGATTGCTATCTTGAAACTATGGAAAAGACATTGTGTAAATATTTTTAAAAGTATTGATATATCATTATTACTTTTTATCCTGAATAACATAGTGTAAGACTATATTTAGGGCTTTTCCATCATAACTTTTCAGTTAATTTTTATAGTTGTTTCACAAAGATTTTGTGAATTTCTATAAGATTTCATTTTGTGTTCATTTCTAATATACTTGCTGGTATGAGTACTAATTGTTTTGTAATATGGTCTATTTAGTGATTTTCTTGTGTGGCAGAGCTTATGGTGAGGCTAGAATAATGATATTCAGTGTGCTGTCTTTGAAATCTTTCTTTAAGTATTTAAATGCCAGTTATTTTAATTTTTAATTGCAGGACCATGCCTATATTTTAAATATTTTATCTATTTTCATTATTCACATCTCTTCTTTATTTTGAGCCCTGTGAAGTTTTTAAGCACTATATGTTCAGATCCAGCTTTGTGACATTATAACTATAGCTGTATTCTAAACATTATTGGATAGTTATCTAACATTTCACAGTTACATATTTGATGATGATTTCATGATACAGAGTTTTCATTATTAATTAGCTTTTGTAATTTTTTTGAAATTAACTTACATTAACTTTATATCAGAAAATTTTCACTCATTCAGGAACATGACCAAATCCTTTTTCTTGCCTGGTATTGTACTAAATAATACTTAAGCAATTTTTCTAATGTTATATCATTGCATTCCTTGGATCCAACTTAGTTAACTTGCCATTGTATTGGATATGTGATGAAGTTATTTATGGCATTTGTCTAACTTTGACACAAGTGTTCTGTTTTTTATTTTACAAAGAAAAAACCATAAAAAGCAAAAAGTAAACAAATAACAACAATAACAACAAAAAGTCAATAGTGATATAGCATTTCAAACCAAAATGATAAGAACTTAGCAGTGGTTGTTATAGTGCATATTGCTGTCTTCAAAATAGTTTCTCAGGTTTCCAGATACAGGCATGCAAAATTGATCAAGCAACATAATTTCCCTTTGAGCAGCCTCTTTCCCTTTTACTATATCTATGGTAAAGTTTGGGTTTTATTTCCACTTTCATGTTCTTAAACTAGCAAGGCAATATGGTGTTTATACATGCAAAAATGATTTCTTTCACTTATGAGTATGGTTTCTAGTTGTATCCATTTACCTACAAAAACCACGAGTTTATCATTCTTTATGGCTAAGTAGTATTTCATTGTATGAAAATACCACATCTTTTTTATCTATTCTTAGTTGATGAGTATTTGAGTTCTTTCCAAGATCTGACTATTAGATATTGTTCATCTATAAGCATGGGTACACAAACATCACTGTGGTATGATGTTTTCAATTTTCCTGGGAAAATACCCAGAATAGGAATATGTGTCAAATGGAACCACTAATCCTAGTTTTGTAAGGAATCTACACTAATTTCCACAGTGTACCAGTCTACACTTCCACCAACAACAGAGAAGAATTCCTTTTTCCCATAGCTCTGTCAGCATTTGTGATTGGTTAATTTCTTGAGGTTAGCCATAGTTTCTGAAGTAAGATGATATCTCAGTGTTGTTTTAATTTGCATTTCTCAAATGACCAATAATGTTGAACAGTTTTTCCTTATGTTTATTTGTCATTTGTATTTTTTCATCTGAGAATTGTGTGTTCATCTCAGATAAGAATTTTTGGACTGGATCTTTAAATTTTGTGGGCCTTATTTTTTTCAGTTCTTTATACTGTATAGATATAAGACCTTTGTCTGCAAGGCAGTTGATAAAGGTTTTTTTCCAATCTGTAGGTTTTCTTTTCACTCTGTTGGTAATTTCTTTCGATGTGCCGAAACTTTTTAATAAGATTAGATCCCAGTTTGGGGATCTTAAAGTAATTTCCATGCAATTGATTTTGTTTATGAACTCTGCCTACCCTTAGGTCACTGAGATTTCTACTTAATTTGTCCTCCAATAGACTTAGTGTTTCTGTCTTAAATTAGATCTTTGACCCATTTTGACTTTAATTTAGTGCATGGTGACATGCATGGCTCTAGTTTAAGTGTTTAGCATGTAGAAAGCCAGCTTTTCCTAAACCAGATATTCAAGAGGGTATCTTTCTTCTTTTGAAACATTTTGGCTCTTTGTCAATCATAAATTGGCTGAGTATGTTTATAGTTATGTCTGCATATTTTATTCTGTTACATTGATCTTTGCATGTATTTTTGCCAGTACTATACTGATTTTATTATAGCAGCTATGTAGTATAATTTCAAACCAAGGATTTTTGATGCCTCCTGTCTTTACTTTGTTGTCCAGAATTACCTATGCTGTTCTAAATCTTTTCTGTTCCCAGATGAATTTTAGGATATTTTTCTGTAGATCTGTGAGGTATGCTAATGGTA